GCTATTGTATCGTTAAAAATTAGAAAATTAAGCTTCGTTTAAATACTGGCTCCCTTTCATGGTCGAATGAGTGTTGCCAGCTAAAACACGTAAAAATAATATTAAAGTAGCCAAGACATAGCCAAATATTGTAGCGCCACATCACTAGCGGACATTTGAAATTTGCCGACTAGGACGGTCGGTTAACCGAGGGGTTGGTTGATCAGGGGCGGATAATCGAGGTTCTACTGTAGTTACAATTCTATAGTTAGCATTAGACCAGCAATGCATTGCTAATTAGTAAATTAGCCCAATGTTTTGCTTTTCAGTGATGAAATGATGGATAATATATATAAATACTGTCTTATGGATATGGAGTTGGAAAACTGTAAATATTGACTCTAGAGTCAGTGAACAAAAAGCTGATCCCTAGCCTTGATTTCCAAGGAAATACTGTAGACTCTTGCTAATCTGACTATTCCTTACACAGAGGGTGATGGATTAGTGAGTGTGCCACATTACTGTATGCATATAGGCCTAAAGCTTGTCCAAAGGCAATGAATAACATGACCTGTTGCCCTATGATACCAATTTGTTTTAATTACAAGTAGAACATACTAAAAGGTTGGTTACTAAGTGTGAATCATTCAATATACATAATAATTTGTTCATACTTGCATTAAAATGTTGTTATAATCTATATCGTGTACATTATAAGTTTGTTATTAATGTGTTTTTTTAAAATATGTTCAATTTAATGGACTTCAGCAGTACCAGATAGCCTTTTCCCAATTATTCTGTTAAATCAAGGCTTTATCATATATAAATTTTCTTAACTATAATAATTGAAAAAATTAAAATAGGTAGTGANTTATGTTGACTAAAATTTTCTGTTAAATAAGCATTTCTTAAATAAGATATATAAATATATATATATAATTTCTTTGATAGGATGGCAACACAACAAAGTCCTCCCAAGAGAATTTTCTATGGGAAACAAGCTTGGGTGTTACATACAAGTAGAATAATCCATAAAACTCTGCATGACCAGCATCCCATAAAATGTAATGATTTCATGTGGATTCATGCATGTAGGCATTAGCAGATTTGCTTGTTAAGCATTTTTCAGCTTAACAAGCATAGCAATCAATGCAAACAATCTTCTCACAATGTTAATCCCTTTACTCAGGCATGTAAAATGGAACTTGGGTAAAGATTCATATCCTTTAGGTTACTAAATTCTGTATAACAACATTGATATAACTCCATTCATATGATATTCTATTAGGAAATCAGTTCTGCATCAGGTTCTTACAATCTTCATCAAGTTTTTCCTAATGATTCCTGATGGCATTTGTGCAAATGGAGTTATGTCAATGCCAGTATACAGGATTAAGTCATCTAAAGAGTGTAAATCTATCTTACCTAAACTCTGTTTTATAAGCCTGTATAAATCAATTATCATGGTGAAAAGATTGCATTGATTGCTGCATTTGTTAAGCTGGAAAACAATCTACATGGCTGACCCAGTGTAAATCCAGGATCACTACCAATGTTCAGTGACTTTATCCATTCAGCACTGGTCATAAGGAGTTAATCAATAATAAATTATAGTTAAGTTAAATTAAAACGCAACCCATTACATTATCAAATTTAATAAACCCATATTTTTCTGCATTTTTGGAAGCCAGTAAACATCTCATAATTCCCATCCTATTGTCACAGAAATACAAATACTGGTACAATTACACCGCTAAATGAGACAGCTGAGACCTTAGAGCTGTAGATCATACCTGTAGGAGCAAGAAAGTCAAAGGAACCATATTTCTACACAGTGGCACGCACACCCAGGGAAGCTAAGGGGCCATGGCAGCTTCCAAAGAAAAAGAAAAAAAAAAGAACTAGAAAATTTTCCAAAAATCTTTTTCTGAGTGGAATTCATTTCTTTTATTTATATTGTGTCGTGTCTTCTATTTACATACTACAGTAGAACCTCGAAAACTCGGCCTAATGTGGACCGAAGTGTGGCCGAGTTTGTGAAAATGCCGGGTTATCGGGAATGGGGTTAAAAAAGGATAAGTATGAGTGTTTCCTCAGAAAATAGTGTACTGTACTTGTATGTATTGTTTGCTGGAGAATACAACAGAGAATAAACTGCCCAAATACCCTTAAACAAAGGAAAAGTACGTACTTTATGAAGGCATAAAGCCTTTACTACATGAAAATGAAAATTAATGAATACACTGTGTACAGTAATTTACCTGATAAGAAAGACCTCAGAAAAATACTTTATGAGAGCTTTTATACTTTTATAAAGCTGTCTATAATGAAAATACTTTATGAGAGCTTTTATACTTTTATAAAGCTGTCTATAATGAAAATTAATTAACTAAGGATTTTTTTTGCCCTGCCAGGGTGTGGCCGAGTTATCTGGAGTTCCGGGTTATCGAGAGCCGAGTTTTCGAGGTTCTACTGTACTTATGAATTCGCAGTCACATGGAGTGGGGAGTTTATTGATTTCGCATAAAAAATGTTTTTATCTTGTTTAACTTGGTTTCCCCCAGGATTAAATTCCAAGTGCACCGCAGCTTCTCCACATGACCCTTTGTGAGATACAGCCCTCCAAACATCAGCTTACTTCCAGCTTGCACACAATCAGGAGTTGTATCACTCTGTAAAACTATCACTTTTAACTATTTAGCCCACACAACTATGCTGACTTTGAGTAGCCCACTTGACTGTTTGTGGAGTACTTAATGTTATATAGTTTTAGGGGTGTGGGACGACAAGCCTCCACACAGGCACTTTGGTGCAAGTAATAAGCAATTATATTGATTTATGGTAAAACCAATCTTTGGAGGCAAATATCTCGCATATATGGGTATAGTTCCTTTGACTTTTTTGCTCCTACAGAGAAGTCTACAATTCTAGGGAAACCCTCATTCAGAGTTTACATCTTACCAAAAATATTGTTGTCATTTTGACAATACTTTTTTTTAGCCCTGACAACAACGGACTGAAAGGCTCAAGATTACTCAGAATTACAAAAGGTGTTCATCTGACCTACAGAAAGCAAAAAAGCACAAGCTCCCTTCGAACATACATCTTTGGAGAAGTAAAATTGTTAAATTTAATACTTTAGGTACTTTTCTGTTAATGGGACGCCAGCCGACAGGTACAGTAACGGGTAAGATTCAAGCTCCAAAAGACAGGTTTTACCCCCTCCCCAGAATTGTCAACTCTTTACGAGATATTTGCCTCTAAAGTTTTTAACACATCAGTACTGCCTATTTTACATGCTTTGCATGTAGACATGTGCTTCAATGCTCGCTATCGCTCGAGCACCCATACTCCCCTAAAACTACACCTATGTGCAAAACTTACGCAACAATTGTTTTTTTGCCGTAACTCCACAAGAAATCACCTGACAGACATGAAATTCACAATACAGAGACAGTATTTTGTACTTAAAGGATAAAGAAAGCATACTAGCACAAAAATGAATAGAATCCTCCCTTTTATTGTAGTCTTGCACTGCATGTGCTGACTGCACACATTCTGCATGCCCTCAAGTCACCTGTAATGTCTTCTTCCTGAATACAAATCACCTTTCTACCGAATTGGGTGTTTGTTGTACTGATCACAACAAGTCCTTTTCAACAATTTCTGCTGTCTGCTTAAAAATTATATTGTTGCTTAAGTTTTGCACACCAGTGTATATAACATTAAGTACTCCATGAAAATTCAAGTGACCTACTCAAAGCCGGCACAGTCGTGCGGACTAAATAGATAAATGTGACAGTCTCACAGATGACTGTATCACATATTGGATTAAAGTGACAATTGGTGCTCTGTTAACAGAAAGGAACCATATTTTATTATGAACGCCTCGTTCAAATTTCAAAATTTTACATAAAAAGATCATTTGTATTTCCAAATTTCAGATAGATATTTTATAAAATCTCATCTTGACTTTAAAGGCAAAACTTATTTCTTACCTGATTTATAACTTCTGAATAAGCCGTATCATCAGACTGAAATCTGACAGGGATTGTTAGGAAGAGGCAAGACTGGCAACCGAGATGTTTGCTCAATTGAGAATTGCGAAAACGAATCGATGCATTTAATTTGTCGTTCTTATAAGCGACATTCCTCGCTGCGATCTTCCACGAATACTAAAAGACATTGAAATTAATTCGTTTATTGGATAAATTTTAAAAATTTAAGCTTTTATATTTAAATAAAATCGATGTTTACTTGTCTCGTCGGAAATAAATAAAGCCTTCTCGAACCGATACGGAATAAACAACTATTTATACTTTTATACATGATTTTGATATTTCAATAAATACAATGCAACATGCACTCTGCCAAAAGTCGACGGCAGCGACGCCCACGTTTCATTCATTCCATCATTATTTTCAGAATTCCAATCTAATTTTAAAAACATATTCCTTATTAAANGCTGTTGTTGGGTCTTCCGGTAAGATGACAGCTTGTGACTGGTTGAGAAAATCTGTGGCCCTGCGTAGAAAGTCTTCCTCCCTGCATAGAACGAACTTCTTGTCCTTGTCTGATATCAGAAGTCTCATGTTGGAAGTTGATAAGTACCGTCTCACAGAGTGGTCTTTGGGACTTTGTATTGCCCGAGCTGGATTTTGTCTTACAGATGCTAGTGTCGAGATGATTGACAGCTCCATTTGTGGATACTTTGTTGTCGCTTGGCAACACTTGAGTGCTGCAAGGGTCGCTGGTACCATTTCTGCGATGTTCATATTTTGTGGCGGAGGGATATATCTGGGTCCCTGTTGTAAAACCTTCTCAATTCGAGATGGAACAATTTCATCGGTGTAATTGTGAAATTCGGTTGGCTGTACCGGATTTTGTTGTTTGCGTGCTGCATTACAAAGCCATTTGAACTTCTTGTTTAGTTTAACTCTTTCATCTCGTGCAAACTTCGATGCCATGCTGTGAATCTTTCCTAGTTGGTCGTAGAGTGAAACCGGGTCACAAGATTTGGCAAATTGCAGATGGGCAACATATAACTTGAGTTCAGCTTCTGCCAATGATTTGCGTTTCACTTTAATTAATTTCAAAAGGAGCGACTTCTCCATTTGTTTCAATGTACCTCGTAGACACAAAGGAAAGGCCCTGTAGTTAATGGTGATGCACTTTGGAACTATATGATGGGATCTACACTTGAGTAGAAAGACTAGTTGGGCATGTAGTTTATGCCATACCTTTTGTAAATTTAACATAGAGAAGAAGAACATCCGAATTCTGTTACTCATCTTGTTAGGAGTAGTAAAAACGTATTGAGGTTGGATGTCACGCCAACTTTTATTTTAATTAAAGCTTCTTCAAAAACTTCAGACACTAAGGCGTTAAACACAATTAATATATTTTATTCTTGCGAGCGCTTTCGACGTAAATATGCACGTCGTCCAAATAAGCGCTCGCAAGAATAAAATATATTAATTGTGTTTAACGCCTTAGTGTCTGAAGTTTTTGAAGAAGCTTTAATTGAAACAATTGATGTATGTATGATTTATACAACCGGTTTTCATGTGTGCTTTATAGATTTCCAATCTCTCTAGATGTTGATCGTTTGCCTATTATTCGTCGTTTTTATAATTGCTGCTTGATCCCATTGTACGCCATCAATAGGAACCTGGATAACACTGTGTTGGCATCATATGCAAAACAACAAGATATTAACGTACAATGGAATCAAGCGGCAATTATAAAAACGACGAATAATAGGCAAATGATCAAACATCTAGAGAGATTGGAAATCTATAAAGCGCACATGAAAACCAGTTGTATAAACCATAGAGACGCCGACTCATTATCTACTGCGTGGAGATCCTTTTACGAAACAGTTGATTTTCTAATATCAGATTAATGATAATTTGGTATGTTATAAGTAGTCCTGAAATTTAAAAATAGTTTTTATTTTATATTTTCAATAGTTTTTGTTATTGTTTACTATTGAATTAGATGTTAGCTTATATATTCTAGGTTTTTATGATTTTTTGTTAAATATACAAAATATTGTATATTTATAAATTTTGAAGCATTTATTATATAATCATAATTACAAATATATAAACGTCCCAAAGCTCGATGTATTAATACTAATCCAAACAATTGTCATAATTAATTGGGCTATTAACTGGCAGTGCACCGCACGATAAGCAGGGGTTGCAGGTTTGAATCCTGCTTCGGGCCAATTCTTTTCTTCTAGACTGTTCTAAAAATTATTCAGCAAATATTAAATTATTATAATTATTAATTTCAATCAGAGATGACACCTAACATCTATCTCTAATACCAAATTATTTAATATCTAATTATTAATAGTAGCAAAAAGTATCCTAATTAATTACTGTGATTGTTTAAATTAGTATAATTATAATTATTTGTAGTAAATTTAAAATTTTTATATTCCTAGAATATATTATATCAGTGCTTGAAATTTGAATGACATAAGTGTTAGTGTATTATTTTCATCTTTGTCCTTGTTAATTTAACTTTTCAAAATACAGGAATGTGGATTTGAAAGAATACTGTTCCTAACTAAGTTTTTCTTTAGTTTCTTCAAAGTTAATGACTAAATGTTTGATTAATTAAATTAATAAACTGATCATGAAATGGTAATATTACTTAGTATTACAGTTGACCCCCCCTATAACACTGTTGATAATTCCGTTTTATATGAATTCCATGTTGTACGAGTCACTTAGATTTTACAAATATGTGATCCATTCAGTCCAGCACACGTATTTGTAAATTCTAAGTGACTTATACAACATACAATTCATATAAAATGGAATTATCAACAGTGTTATAGGGGGTTGACTGTATATTTGTTTATAATTACTTTTTAATTAGCGCAAGATGAAAATAAGAAGAAAATTAAGAAAAACAGCTCAGTTAAATTTAAACATTTTTAAAAAATTTACATTTAACTTATTTACTTTACTTAACTACTATATGTCCAGATAGATATATTTGAAATTTCCCAGAACAAAATTAAATATTTCTATTTTTAGTGTTGGAATTAATTTTACTAAGTGTTAAAATTTAATAAATGAATAAAGTTTTTATTTAATCATTTATTTTTTTTAGGAGGAGCAGAATGGAGATCATATTGAAGCTTTTATTAAAAAGCATAATACTCTCAAAGAAAAGTGGGGAAAGAGTCCCAAGATTCGTAACAGTGACTTTCGAGCAGCAAATCGAAATTACAGTGATAAGCGTTTAAAATTACTAAATTCTTATAGAAAAATACCTGATGATATTGATAAAGATGTAGAATCCAAAAAAATTGTAAATCCAACATGTAGTAAATCTATTCAAGAACCATCAAATGATCTTACAAATTTATATCAATGTTATGATGTTTATGACGAAGAAGAAGATAGTTCAACAACTGAAGTAAGTAAAAAAAAACTATAATTAGTCTGTCAAATAATTATATCGGTATTTTCAATTTTAAATTATACAAAACATATAAAAAATTTTTAGTGATGATACAAAATCTTTAGAAATGAATCAGGCAGAGCTGTGGTCTCCAACCTTGATATGAACTTTAAGTATAACTCTAAAAAAATAGCCTGTGGATTCACTTGATTTGGTGAAATGCCTTGAAATACCATTTACTACATTGTAAGTTTATCATTATTAGTATAGGGTTGATTAATAAGTTTGTTGTTTTTTACATAAGATGATGCTAATAGCAATTTTGTTAATTAACGGTCATTAATTAAGAGCAATTTATATTTAATTATTTTTGTCAGTTTCATCATAATATTCATAATAAATAAAACGTTTTTTATTATTTGTTGTTATACTCAAATTTTTGGAAATAAAAATGGAGGATCTTAAGTTGTATTCTCATCACCTTATGTTTTTCTACTTCTGTGAAAACACTACAACTTCCTAAAAAATATGTGCTGTTTATAACAATGCTGCTGTTGATGTTCATGTGTGTCAAAAGTAGTTTAAGAGGTTCCAAACAGAAAATATTTTTAGAAGATGCACCACAATTTGGAAGACCCCCAGCTATTGATGATGATGCAATCACTGCATTAATTCAAGAGAATTCTTATTATGCTACCAGGAAAATTGCAGAAGTATTCTGTTGCTTAGAGATCAGTTGTTGGCCATTTACTCAACTTAAGATATGTACTGTGCTTTGATGTTTGGGTACTACATTGAGAGAAAAATCTCAGACAGAATATCCCTTTTTGAATTGACTAATTATTGGTGAGAAAAATGGATTGTTTATGGTAATATGCAGCAAAAAAGATTATGAAGAAAGTCAGCTGACCCCTCTGTAATGCAATCAAAAGCTGGTTCATATCCAAAAAAGAGGTTANTATTAAAATAATAATAAATTAATAATTATTCGTTTAAATTTTAATAACATTTTATTTAAAAAAAAATAAAATAATAACACAAGATGGCGATGTTAGTAATGATCGTAAAAAAGACGATTTGAATAATTGTGTTTATAGTTTAAAGTGGAAATGGCGACTTTACTGAGAATTAAGAGAAAATCGAGTACAGAACCGACAGAAGCTGTGGTAATCGCTAGCAAAAGACCTAGAAATGAAACTGAAGTCGAAACAGTATTTAAATTCATCGGTACAGTAAAAGAGAATGTAAGAATATTTAAATTTTTCCCCCCACACAGAAAATTTAAATAGATGATTTTTTAGTGTTTTATCTATTGTGTCAGTTGCAATAATATTATAAAAAATAATTAACTTTTGTAAAAATTAAGTGGTCGCTTTGGGTCATGATAATCTACTGTGTATGTAACTCTACAGCAGGTGTTACTTTCAATTAATTTGTATATAGAAGAGTATACATAAAATTACCTAAAGTAAACTTGTACCAGGTTATCAACAGAAAAATGATTGTAAAATGTCTGTTATGCAGAATAGTAATGTAGATAGCAATGTACATTGTCTATTCGTATCAAAGACACAAAAAAAAAAAAGGCTCTGACAATATCATTAAATGAGGTTGATAACTGAAAATAACCAACACATTGAGCACTGGTGTTTGTTATTTTTATTGAAAAAATCACTTTAAAAAGAATATTTTAATACGATTAAATCCAAAATTAAACGAAACTGGACTGAATTAACTTGCGTAACTTAATTTGCTCGGAAACCTTAAATTTGGCCAAATGTTACGAAGAAGACAGGTATATTAATTGTTCGAAAGTCAAAGTAGCAAAAATATAAATGGATAGTGAGCAATTATTTATTCTGATGTTGTCATGATGCCAGACTGCAATTTTTACATTTTAAATTTATTTAATTTAAAATACAATTAAAAACCTACAAAAAATGTTTTATGTAGAATTTTAGAGTAGTTTTAAATGGTTGTGAATGCTTGGTGAAAACTTTGTCGTAGACAGTATCTACAGTAAAATATTTGTGTAAACATTACTGAGGAGGAATCGATAAAAAAGTTGGATCTGAAATGCATGTAAATAAAACATACGAAAATTAAAATTACTTCTGGGTAATTCTTGAACTCTGATGAACATTTGGATTAGAAGGACATAACAATTTTTGTTTATTAATCCACAAACCCCTTCCAGGTGGTTAGATAAATAATCAATTAAGCCGACTAATATTGCTGAATTTATCTGAAAAGTTTTGAATTGAAATAATGTGACTTCCGGTTTTCATCAGAAGTTCATATGTAGTTAATTGGGGCCTCCTGCCACTAAGGTTTCCATATCTAGTCTTGTCTTTTGTCTGTCTAACTCTGTTCTCGAGATAAACTCGAAAGACTGGCAGGCATACGGACGATGGTGGGAATTTATGGTCTACGAGTTTTTCAAATTGCAGCCCAATTATAATTAGTATATAAAAGCTTTTTGTCTCAATGATTATGGATAAATGAATCTTAAACACTGTGGCAGAGATAACAGACCCTTATCACACTGCTACTGAGGACATAAAAATGAAACTTTTCATCAGAATACAACTTTATTACTGGTGTGCATTTTGGTAGAAAAGACCCTCGTCAGCCATACATGAATATAGAGTTATCTACAACAAATGTAAAACTTAAAAAAAAATTATATACAGATTAATATAAAAGGTTTAAAATTCCATTACAAATTGACAAGCTGATCTGTTTTAGATCTACATCAAAGTGCAATGCTCATTAATTTAAAATATTTATTATAATCAAACCTAAAATAGTTTAAAATTTTTGTTTTAGTTACATAAACAATCAAATAATACCAGTTTAAAATTTGTGATTATATACAATGACTCATTATTTCTTAGTAAATTAGTTCAAGGCAGTCATGATCAGTACTCACTTCGTAGTAATGTATAGATATTATTAACACCACCCTCTGCTGGACAAAGTTTTATTATTCGTATATTACTTGTCTATCATCAGAATGAAACTTTATTGTTGTATTCTGATGATAGACAAGTAATATATGTCCTCATTGTAAGTCTGTTATCTCTACTGCAGTGTTTGAGGTTCATTTATCAATAATTATAGTTGTTCATAATGTATTCAAACAACTGTTTGTAGTTATCTGTGAAAATTGAGAGAATTTTGTTTGGTACATGTGATCTCTGTTAACATATAATAAAGTTAATTAATTAATTAAAAAAGTTTATAATAAATAAATTTTTTGAATGTTTATAACAATAATAATAATAATAAAAAGTAAAATTTTGAAAATGTATTTATTTTTGTATTTTAATGAGAGATTGGTGTAATGCCAACCTATGGTGTTCTATTAGGAATTACTGAAGCTTTGCAAATAACTCAAATTTATAGAAAAACAATAGAATATTGATATGATTTATAAGCCAGAAAGAAAAATCTTTTAAAAATCTATACTACAGAAGTATGCATTTAATCATTAAAAAAAAATGAAAACATTTGAAATTGGAAAATATTTTATCATTGACTGACTATTAATGTTATAAAATTGGGTCTTTTTTTTTCTAAAATATTTTTTGAAAGTTTAGTTAAATTAGTTCAAAGTGGGGAAAAAATTTTCATTATAGTCTCTGTTCTAATTGTTTCTACTTTTTTGAGTGAAAGTATATTATCTATTAATGATGATACTTTTTCCAGAATAAAAACAATAGTTATTTAACTATATAGATTTTACTTATTCAATTCATCATCATAAATTTACCTAAAAGATTGATTCGATTCATTTATTCAAATTTAATCAAATCAAATCTCATAACTATGTGCTAGAATGTAAAATAAATCCTTTATTTAAAAGTTGAAAATAATATATAATATAAAACTTGAATTTTTTTTTTTTAATATTGAGATATTTACTTATACTTGAACTAAATTCTGTATCTTAATAAACTTTATCATTAATTTATTAGTTAAAATCTCATTTGGATCAAGCAAATTAGATTTTATTAATTAATCAGTACTGGTAAATCAGATTTGATAGATTAGCTGACTTCAACTTTTAAACAATTTTTTTGAGCGTTTACAAACTTGTTTTTAAAGATAAAATAAATTTTTTAAAATTATCATCTAATTTAAGTTTGTATGATTTTTTTTAATGTAAAATAATAACAACCTTGATGTATAATCAAGTAACTATCAAATATTATTGAGTTTTCTGTTATAATTTGACTAATTTTGTGATTAAATTGAATTTTTTAATTATTAAAAGATATAAAAATCGCATCTAGTGGTGATATTGAATTTGTATTAATTCAATTTAGATGTGTAAAAGACGTCTATTCAGATTTGAATGTAAATCTGTTATTTTGTTAAATTTGTAATCAGATTCTTCAGTTCATAAGAATTGTCTAACTGCTTGTAATTAACTGTCAGAAGTTTAGAAGGATTGTATGAATACAAAGTTAATTAATCTAATGGTCCAATGCTAACAAACTTTGAAATTTGAAATTGTCAATAAATTTTATTTGCTTGTAATTAAAGTTTTAAGTGTGATTGCATTATCGACAGTTAAACCATTTCTATCTGATTTTCTTGAATTCCTGCCTATTTAATGTTTGGAAACTGAAATTATGCTTTTTATCGGCTGGCAGATTTCAACTGTAAACAATTTTGAAATTGAATCTGAAAATTAATTCTTCCCGAAAGTTTAAATTACTTGCTATGATTGGCTAGAAAAAAAATCAGTGACTAATATGATTTTAAAAACACTAGAAACAGATGGTTTTTATTTAGTATCTCTACTTTCCAATGAAGTTTTGAGTCTTTTTATCATATTGTAAATTTTTGCAAGTTCTTTTTGTCTTTTGAATAATGTAAAAGTTCATACAGTAGAACCTCGATTATCCGCCCTAATTGGGGACTGGGGTTGGTCGGATAATTGAAAAGTCGGATAACCGAAAAGTATGAAAAAATCCATTATTAGTGTAGTATATTATTATATCCCATGTAATTAGTATATTAGTATATCGCTATTAACCTATTTTGCGTTGAATTTTCATCGATGTTAAGCCTAACAAAAATTTTTTAAAATAATAATCGTCGCTATTGTANAGTGTCGAGATGATTGACAGCTCCATTTGTGGATACTTTGTTGTCGCTTGGCAACACTTGAGTGCTGCAAGGGTCGCTGGTACCATTTCTGCGATGTTCATATTTTGTGGCGGAGGGATATATCTGGGTCCCTGTTGTAAAACCTTCTCAATTCGAGATGGAACAATTTCATCGGTGTAATTGTGAAATTCGGTTGGCTGTACCGGATTTTGTTGTTTGCGTGCTGCATTACAAAGCCATTTGAACTTCTTGTTTAGTTTAACTCTTTCATCTCGTGCAAACTTCGATGCCATGCTGTGAATCTTTCCTAGTTGGTCGTAGAGTGAAACCGGGTCACAAGATTTGGCAAATTGCAGATGGGCAACATATAACTTGAGTTCAGCTTCTGCCAATGATTTGCGTTTCACTTTAATTAATTTCAAAAGGAGCGACTTCTCCATTTGTTTCAATGTACCTCGTAGACACAAAGGAAAGGCCCTGTAGTTAATGGTGATGCACTTTGGAACTATATGATGGGATCTACACTTGAGTAGAAAGACTAGTTGGGCATGTAGTTTATGCCATACCTTTTGTAAATTTAACATAGAGAAGAAGAACATCCGAATTCTGTTACTCATCTTGTTAGGAGTAGTAAAAACGTATTGAGGTTGGATGTCACGCCAACTTTTATTTTAATTAAAGCTTCTTCAAAAACTTCAGACACTAAGGCGTTAAACACAATTAATATATTTTATTCTTGCGAGCGCTTTCGACGTAAATATGCACGTCGTCCAAATAAGCGCTCGCAAGAATAAAATATATTAATTGTGTTTAACGCCTTAGTGTCTGAAGTTTTTGAAGAAGCTTTAATTGAAACAATTGATGTATGTATGATTTATACAACCGGTTTTCATGTGTGCTTTATAGATTTCCAATCTCTCTAGATGTTGATCGTTTGCCTATTATTCGTCGTTTTTATAATTGCTGCTTGATCCCATTGTACGCCATCAATAGGAACCTGGATAACACTGTGTTGGCATCATATGCAAAACAACAAGATATTAACGTACAATGGAATCAAGCGGCAATTATAAAAACGACGAATAATAGGCAAATGATCAAACATCTAGAGAGATTGGAAATCTATAAAGCGCACATGAAAACCAGTTGTATAAACCATAGAGACGCCGACTCATTATCTACTGCGTGGAGATCCTTTTACGAAACAGTTGATTTTCTAATATCAGATTAATGATAATTTGGTATGTTATAAGTAGTCCTGAAATTTAAAAATAGTTTTTATTATATATTTTCAATAGTTTTTGTTATTGTTTACTGTTGAATTAGATGTTAGCTTATATATTCTAGGTTTTTATGATTTTTTGTTAAATATACAAAATATTGTATATTTATAAATTTTGAAGCATTTATTATATAATCATAATTACAAATATATAAACGTCCCAAAGCTCGATGTATTAATACTAATCCAAACAATTGTCATAATTAATTGGGCTATTAACTGGCAGTGCACCGCACGATAAGCAGGGGTTGCAGGTTTGAATCCTGCTTCGGGCCAATTCTTTTCTTCTAGACTGTTCTAAAAATTATTCAGCAAATATTAAATTATTATAATTATTAATTTCAATCAGAGATGACACCTAACATCTATCTCTAATACCAAATTATTTAATATCTAATTATTAATAGTAGCAAAAAGTATCCTAATTAATTACTGTGATTGTTTAAATTAGTATAATTATAATTATTTGTAGTAAATTTAAAATTTTTATATTCCTAGAATATATTATATCAGTGCTTGAAATTTGAATGACATAAGTGTTAGTGTATTATTTTCATCTTTGTCCTTGTTAATTTAACTTTTCAAAATACAGGAATGTGGATTTGAAAGAATACTGTTCCTAACTAAGTTTTTCTTTAGTTTCTTCAAAGTTAATGACTAAATGTTTGATTAATTAAATTAATAAACTGATCATGAAATGGTAATATTACTTAGTATTACAGTTGACCCCCCCTATAACACTGTTGATAATTCCGTTTTATATGAATTCCATGTTGTACGAGTCACTTAGATTTTACAAATATGTGATCCATTCAGTCCAGCACACGTATTTGTAAATTCTAAGTGACTTATACAACATACAATTCATATAAAATGGAATTATCAACAGTGTTATAGGGGGTTGACTGTATATTTGTTTATAATTACTTTTTAATTAGCGCAAGATGAAAATAAGAAGAAAATTAAGAAAAACAGCTCAGTTAAATTTAAACATTTTTAAAAAATTTACATTTAACTTATTTACTTTACTTAACTACTATATGTCCAGATAGATATATTTGAAATTTCCCAGAACAAAATTAAATATTTCTATTTTTAGTGTTGGAATTAATTTTACTAAGTGTTAAAATTTAATAAATGAATAAAGTTTTTATTTAATCATTTATTTTTTTAGGAGGAGCAGAATGGAGATCATATTGAAGCTTTTATTAAAAAGCATAATACTCTCAAAGAAAAGTGGGGAAAGAGTCCCAAGATTCGTAACAGTGACTTTCGAGCAGCAAATCGAAATTACAGTGATAAGCGTTTAAAATTACTAAATTCTTATAGAAAAATACCTGATGATATTGATAAAGATGTAGAATCCAAAAAAATTGTAAATCCAACATGTAGTAAATCTATTCAAGAACCATCAAATGATCTTACAAATTTATATCAATGTTATGATGTTTATGACGAAGAAGAAGATAGTTCAACAACTGAAGTAAGTAAAAAAAAACTATAATTAGTCTGTCAAATAATTATATCGGTATTTTCAATTTTAAATTATACAAAACATATAAAAAATTTTTAGTGATGATACAAAATCTTTAGAAATGAATCAGGCAGAGCTGTGGTCTCCAACCTTGATATGAACTTTAAGTATAACTCTAAAAAAATAGCCTGTGGATTCACTTGATTTGGTGAAATGCCTTGAAATACCATTTACTACATTGTAAGTTTATCATTATTAGTATAGGGTTGATTAATAAGTTTGTTGTTTTTTACATAAGATGATGCTAATAGCAATTTTGTTAATTAACGGTCATTAATTAAGAGCAATTTATATTTAATTATTTTTGTCAGTTTCATCATAATATTCATAATAAATAAAACGTTTTTTATTATTTGTTGTTATACTCAAATTTTTGGAAATAAAAATGGAGGATCTTAAGTTGTATTCTCATCACCTTATGTTTTTCTACTTCTGTGAAAACACTACAACTTCCTAAAAAATATGTGCTGTTTATAACAATGCTGCTGTTGATGTTCATGTGTGTCAAAAGTAGTTTAAGAGGTTCCAAACAGAAAATATTTTTAGAAGATGCACCACAATTTGGAAGACCCCCAGCTATTGATGATGATGCAATCACTGCATTAATTCAAGAGAATTCTTATTATGCTACCAGGAAAATTGCAGAAGTATTCTGTTGCTTAGAGATCAGTTGTTGGCCATTTACTCAACTTAAGATATGTACTGTGCTTTGATGTTTGGGTACTACATTGAGAGAAAAATCTCAGACAGAATATCCCTTTTTGAATTGACTAATTATTGGTGAGAAAAATGGATTGTTTATGGTAATATGCAGCAAAAAAGATTATGAAGAAAGTCAGCTGACCCCTCTGTAATGCAATCAAAAGCTGGTTCATATCCAAAAAAGAGGTTATACTAATTATTTGATAACTTATCTTTATCAGGGAATTATCTTTTATGAACTGCTACCTCAAAATCAGACCATCAACTCAGAGAAATACTGTTTCCAACTTGATAATCTTAGGCAGCCATTGAAAAAAATGGCCAATGTTAGCAAGAAAGGTGTGGCTTTCCAGCATGACAAGGCAAGGCTGCATGTATCTGTGACCATTTGGGGAAAAAATATTGGAATTTGAATAGAATATTTTGTGCCACCTTGTATTCTCATGATCTTGCAACAATTATCACTTATTTTTATTTTTCCAGAATAGTTTGCAAGAGGAACAAGGTCAGTAACTTAGACAATGTGAAAAACTGCCTAGTCATTTTGACAAAAATCTCCAAATGTTTTTGCACATGGAATAATAGATTTATACAACAGATGGGTTAAAGTAATTGAATAGGAAAGTGTATATGTAATTTAATAGTTATTTTTCAATTTATAAAATTTATTATTATTATTTTAAAAAATGAACAAACTTTTTGATCAACTCTATACGTATTGAGCTTTTATGAAGGAATTGGAATCGGAGATTTAAAAATTGACAGTTCTGTGTACTAATTCCACAGCCTAGAAATGAACAGTACTTAAAATTCATTCTGAAATTTCTTTTACTAGGTAAATTTAAGTAATTTTGATCATCATTTATTCCTTCAAAGTTTATATCTTAATTTGTTTAACAGAAATATAAAAATCGTATGTTAAACTGAAAATAATTATTTAGATTTGACTTATTTAGTATATTATGGAATAAATTTTAATTTTCAAATCAGAAGTAATTTTTTATTGAAAGTAATGATTTACTTCATTTCACTTTCAGTACAGTTTTTTTTTTAGAACAAATGATTAATTATTAAGGTAAAACATCTAGGCACTAAAAATAATATAACAATTTTATGATTTTTAGTGCCTAGTTCTAAATAGCAAAATTTCAGGTTTAGAATGTAACTTTATTATGTATTTTACAAATTCATATCTGATGTAGTTGATACTTAATCATGTTATCAAATGCTTAAATTATTGGTAAGAATAATAAATAATCATTGAATATATTATACAAATAATTTAGTTCAATGAATATTCATAGAAGTACTTTTAGCTATATAAAATTTAATTTTTAATATTAAATATTTATCATTTGGATTTTATTTGAAAGAGGGTTGAAGATCGCATAACTTGTAATGGTTTGCCACTATTGAAGTCAGAAGAAATTGAATATGTATATGATTTGTATTATTCACCTGATGCTGATTTTGATTCACAAGCAATTGAAAATGTAGTAAGGTAAGAGATTTATTTTCAGTTTTACATTATAAACTATTTCTTTAAGCCAAATTATGATAATAAAAACTTTAATTTTTTAACCAACAAATTCTCTTAACTGCAAAAGTCAATTTAAAAACTGTTCAAAGCATTTATAAAAATATTAAAAAATTTAAATCTAAAAAAATGAGCAAAAATTTATTGTGACTTCATCACAATGCAAGGCTGCAATTTTAATCATATTCTTAATTTATTTAATTTAAAATACTGTATATGTTCTCAATCTCAAATTAGTAGTGTCTTGCTCCTGTACATCATACTTTTCCTGATAACAACAGTGTCATGCCAGTCATTTATGTAACTCTATTTGGGGAAAGAAAATTTTTAAATTGAAATCACATGTGTATAATTAATTGGGTCTCCTGCCCATATGCTTTCCATGTATCTGGTCTTAACTTTTGTCTATCTTTCTCAAGATTAAGAAAGGATGGACTGCAGACATGCAGACTGACAACAGTGGGAATTTATAGGTCCACAATTTTTTCAAATTGCAGTCCAAAAAGGATCCTCTTGAATGCTATACTATGTGTCAAGATTAAACTAAATATTAGAACCATTGATTTTTTTTAGATTACTTTGCCATCTAACAATACACATGTTTGAAATAGAAGAATAAGCAAAATATCTAAGAATAATAATCTGTTTGTGTAATCTTGTTTTAAAAATTTTTTAAAGAATTATTAATTTTAATGTTTTCAAGTGCAAATATCACCAATGAATGAAATTATATTTAAATTTTAAAATTATTATAATAATTTATTACCAATTTTATTGTATTGAATATTTATTTTAAATGAGATATATTTCTACAACTAGACTCTCTGCTTCTGCTTGCTTATTATAATTTAGTGAGAAATCTTAGAAGTTTTACGTTGTTTGTCATTATTATTCTGTTGTTTTGTTTTTGTTCTATTTGCAGTGGAAGAAACAAAAGAGGAATTTTCAGTCTTAAGTTCTCGTTTCATAAAATTTTTACTGAATTCAGTGTCTCATTTTTAGACTAAAAAGTATCTAATTCAAAATTAAGCTTAAATTTATGAAATACAGTCAGGATAAGCATGTTATTTTGAAAAAAATCATTTTGATTTTTTTAATCAATCTATAAGAATGACACTGTCTTTTTATATAAGAATAAATTACTTTCCTCCTTAATTTAAATCAAAATTTTTACTTTTTCAATGGTAATTGTGCTAAAAAAATTTGAATACTGTAATAACAAATTAATGTAGTTTAAAAATATGCATCTTAATCTTTTAATTTGGTTTATAAAGAATTTAGAATTTATAATGTGGTATAAAATAAGTTTCATGGGCTGTATCAAATATTCAAAAAGACAATTAGTAGTAATAAAATTACTTTCTGGTTATTAGTTAACTCTACTCATGATTAATCTAATCTTATTTAGTTTTCATAACTATGAAGGCTTCAAATACAAATTATTTTTTTAATTCATATTTTTAACTTTTATAAAATTATTTTTTAGTAATAAGCTTAAGTATCGTTGAAGAGAACTAATCACACAGGGAACACCCAAATAATTGACTATGCCAACTTTATTATACAAGGAAGGCATTTCAATTACTGATGTGTTCACTGTATGATTAATTCCCTTCGGCAAAATTATCACTAAAGAATGAAATTCGTGCTTGAATAGTTGCTCAACTAAATAATGATCTTATAAGCTTCAGAATTAATTTTTTAGAAACAGGTTTGAGATGATCNTTCATCAGAATACAACTTTATTACTGGTGTGCATTTTGGTAGAAAAGACCCTCGTCAGCCATACATGAATATAGAGTTATCTACAACAAATGTAAAATTTATTATCTAATGGTCCAATGCTAACAAACTTTGAAATTTGAAATTGTCAATAAATTTTATTTGCTTGTAATTAAAGTTTTAAGTGTGATTGCATTATCGACAGTTAAACCATTTCTATCTGATTTTCTTGAATTCCTGCCTATTTAATGTTTGGAAACTGAAATTATGCTTTTTATCGGCTGGCAGATTTCAACTGTAAACAATTTTGAAATTGAATCTGAAAATTAATTCTTCCCGAAAGTTTAAATTACTTGCTATGATTGGCTAGAAAAAAAATCAGTGACTAATATGATTTTAAAAACACTAGAAACAGATGGTTTTTATTTAGTATCTCTACTTTCCAATGAAGTTTTGAGTCTTTTTATCATATTGTAAATTTTTGCAAGTTCTTTTTGTCTTTTGAATAATGTAAAAGTTCATACAGTAGAACCTCGATTATCCGCCCTAATTGGGGACTGGGGTTGGTCGGATAATTGAAAAGTCGGATAACCGAAAAGTATGAAAAAATCCATTNTTTTTTACATAAGATGATGCTAATAGCAATTTTGTTAATTAACGGTCATTAATTAAGAGCAATTTATATTTAATTATTTTTGTCAGTTTCATCATAATATTCATAATAAATAAAACGTTTTTTATTATTTGTTGTTATACTCAAATTTTTGGAAATAAAAATGGAGGATCTTAAGTTGTATTCTCATCACCTTATGTTTTTCTACTTCTGTGAAAACACTACAACTTCCTAAAAAATATGTGCTGTTTATAACAATGCTGCTGTTGATGTTCATGTGTGTCAAAAGTAGTTTAAGAGGTTCCAAACAGAAAATATTTTTAGAAGATGCACCACAATTTGGAAGACCCCCAGCTATTGATGATGATGCAATCACTGCATTAATTCAAGAGAATTCTTATTATGCTACCAGGAAAATTGCAGAAGTATTCTGTTGCTTAGAGATCAGTTGTTGGCCATTTACTCAACTTAAGATATGTACTGTGCTTTGATGTTTGGGTACTACATTGAGAGAAAAATCTCAGACAGAATATCCCTTTTTGAATTGACTAATTATTGGTGAGAAAAATGGATTGTTTATGGTAATATGCAGCAAAAAAGATTATGAAGAAAGTCAGCTGACCCCTCTGTAATGCAATCAAAAGCTGGTTCATATCCAAAAAAGAGGTTATACTAATTATTTGATAACTTATCTTTATCAGGGAATTATCTTTTATGAACTGCTACCTCAAAATCAGACCATCAACTCAGAGAAATACTGTTTCCAACTTGATAATCTTAGGCAGCCATTGAAAAAAATGGCCAATGTTAGCAAGAAAGGTGTGGCTTTCCAGCATGACAAGGCAAGGCTGCATGTATCTGTGACCATTTGGGGAAAAAATATTGGAATTTGAATAGAATATTTTGTGCCACCTTGTATTCTCATGATCTTGCAACAATTATCACTTATTTTTATTTTTCCAGAATAGTTTGCAAGAGGAACAAGGTCAGTAACTTAGACAATGTGAAAAACTGCCTAGTCATTTTGACAAAAATCTCCAAATGTTTTTGCACATGGAATAATAGATTTATACAACAGATGGGTTAAAGTAATTGAATAGGAAAGTGTATATGTAATTTAATAGTTATTTTTCAATTTATAAAATTTATTATTATTATTTTAAAAAATGAACAAACTTTTTGATCAACTCTATACGTATTGAGCTTTTATGAAGGAATTGGAATCGGAGATTTAAAAATTGACAGTTCTGTGTACTAATTCCACAGCCTAGAAATGAACAGTACTTAAAATTCATTCTGAAATTTCTTTTACTAGGTAAATTTAAGTAATTTTGATCATCATTTATTCCTTCAAAGTTTATATCTTAATTTGTTTAACAGAAATATAAAAATCGTATGTTAAACTGAAAATAATTATTTAGATTTGACTTATTTAGTATATTATGGAATAAATTTTAATTTTCAAATCAGAAGTAATTTTTTATTGAAAGTAATGATTTACTTCATTTCACTTTCAGTACAGTTTTTTTTTTAGAACAAATGATTAATTATTAAGGTAAAACATCTAGGCACTAAAAATAATATAACAATTTTATGATTTTTAGTGCCTAGTTCTAAATAGCAAAATTTCAGGTTTAGAATGTAACTTTATTATGTATTTTACAAATTCATATCTGATGTAGTTGATACTTAATCATGTTATCAAATGCTTAAATTATTGGTAAGAATAATAAATAATCATTGAATATATTATACAAATAATTTAGTTCAATGAATATTCATAGAAGTACTTTTAGCTATATAAAATTTAATTTTTAATATTAAATATTTATCATTTGGATTTTATTTGAAAGAGGGTTGAAGATCGCATAACTTGTAATGGTTTGCCACTATTGAAGTCAGAAGAAATTGAATATGTATATGATTTGTATTATTCACCTGATGCTGATTTTGATTCACAAGCAATTGAAAATGTAGTAAGGTAAGAGATTTATTTTCAGTTTTACATTATAAACTATTTCTTTAAGCCAAATTATGATAATAAAAACTTTAATTTTTTAACCAACAAATTCTCTTAACTGCAAAAGTCAATTTAAAAACTGTTCAAAGCATTTATAAAAATATTAAAAAATTTAAATCTAAAAAAATGAGCAAAAATTTATTGTGACTTCATCACAATGCAAGGCTGCAATTTTAATCATATTCTTAATTTATTTAATTTAAAATACTGTATATGTTCTCAATCTCAAATTAGTAGTGTCTTGCTCCTGTACATCATACTTTTCCTGATAACAACAGTGTCATGCCATTCATTTATGTAACTCTATTTGGGGAAAGAAAATTTTTAAATTGAAATCACATGTGTATAATTAATTGGGTCTCCTGCCCATATGCTTTCCATGTATCTGGTCTTAACTTTTGTCTATCTTTCTCAAGATTAAGAAAGGATGGACTGCAGACATGCAGACTGACAACAGTGGGAATTTATAGGTCCACAATTTTTTCAAATTGCAGTCCAAAAAGGATCCTCTTGAATGCTATACTATGTGTCAAGATTAAACTAAATATTAGAACCATTGATTTTTTTTAGATTACTTTGCCATCTAACAATACACATGTTTGAAATAGAAGAATAAGCAAAATATCTAAGAATAATAATCTGTTTGTGTAATCTTGTTTTAAAAATTTTTTAAAGAATTATTAATTTTAATGTTTTCAAGTGCAAATATCACCAATGAATGAAATTATATTTAAATTTTAAAATTATTATAATAATTTATTACCAATTTTATTGTATTGAATATTTATTTTAAATGAGATATATTTCTACAACTAGACTCTCTGCTTCTGCTTGCTTATTATAATTTAGTGAGAAATCTTAGAAGTTTTACGTTGTTTGTCATTATTATTCTGTTGTTTTGTTTTTGTTCTATTTGCAGTGGAAGAAACAAAAGAGGAATTTTCAGTCTTAAGTTCTCGTTTCATAAAATTTTTACTGAATTCAGTGTCTCATTTTTAGACTAAAAAGTATCTAATTCAAAATTAAGCTTAAATTTATGAAATACAGTCAGGATAAGCATGTTATTTTGAAAAAAATCATTTTGATTTTTTTAATCAATCTATAAGAATGACACTGTCTTTTTATATAAGAATAAATTACTTTCCTCCTTAATTTAAATCAAAATTTTTACTTTTTCAATGGTAATTGTGCTAAAAAAATTTGAATACTGTAATAACAAATTAATGTAGTTTAAAAATATGCATCTTAATCTTTTAATTTGGTTTATAAAGAATTTAGAATTTATAATGTGGTATAAAATAAGTTTCATGGGCTGTATCAAATATTCAAAAAGACAATTAGTAGTAATAAAATTACTTTCTGGTTATTAGTTAACTCTACTCATGATTAATCTAATCTTATTTAGTTTTCATAACTATGAAGGCTTCAAATACAAATTATTTTTTTAATTCATATTTTTAACTTTTATAAAATTATTTTTTAGTAATAAAATTTCTCAATTTGTTAAAATTATTAAAACATTGGCATATGTTAATAGTGAAAAGTTTATATTTGAATTATTATGTATATTAAAATTTTCTCATGGCATTATAATTGATACTTAACAAGTGTGTGCAAAATTTTTTTTAATATAATTTAATGCTAGAAAATTGGAAAATAAGAATGTTAAGCAGCAATTACTTTTGTATTTATTATATTGCACTTGCATCATTTTACTTACATAGATATACTTATTAGTATTTTAATTCTTAAAATATATTGTATTAATTACTGTGTCTGTGAGAAGAAATGAATAATTTTATTTATATTAATATTTTAAAAAAGATAATGTATTTATATTGTTTAAATGATTAAAAAATTAATATTTTTTAATTTTATTAATTAAAAGCTTTAAAATGTAAATAACTCAGATTTATATTCTGCTTTATTAGTATTAAAGGTTGTACCTTAGAAAATGATCTTGTTTATCCCGATGGTGATGATGATGATCAATGTTTTGATGATGATGACAGCAATGATGAAGATAATTGGAGAAACGATTATCCTGAAGAAGATCCCTTATTTGAAAGAAGTATGAAGTTCAATTCTAATTGAAAATATTTTATATTTTACTAAATTTATAACTGTTATAAGTTATCCAATGTTAAATCAGTATTTGTAAAATTTTTATTTATTAGAAATAAGTTAAACCCTGTTTGTATGTTTCACATTTGTACATTTTTTGTAATTGCACATTAAATATTTTCTGCATTGTACTTTCTCCATTATAAAACACTTCAGTTACATGTTTTTAATTCATATGTTTTGGCACTTATACATCATATTTTTCAGTATCCCACATCACTTTTTTTCTCATTTGTGTGTTATTCACTTTAAAATGGAAGAATTTAAAGTGATTATTAAAATTCAATGAAAAAGTGAATTATTTATTCACTTCAGGTTAATCCACATTGACAGCAAATTGCCAACAGATACAAAAAGCAAAGAAAATATTACATATTGTGTGATGCCATTTCTAACAAATTGTTCTGCCCATCTAACATGTTGAGACTTTTTGTTTTTTAATATGAACCAATTTCATTAAATAAATAAAAATTTTTCTGGTTTCTCATTTATTTTTGCTATCTGCTGTCAATGTAAGCTACCTTTACAATGACACTTCATTTTTTTTTCATGTAACTAGAGTTTCAGTGGAAAGAGGCAACTGATGTCATACACTGTACCAGTTTGTGAAAAGTCCATCAATAGAAAACAAATAAATCTTGATCAAGTACATGACTTAATTTTACATTGTTTTACTTTTTCTCTTATATGTTGTTAAAATGTATTATACATACATATAGTAAATTAAAACTGTTTTGTTTGAGTTATATGTACAAGTTCAGTTATACAATGTGAATTTTGCCATGCCATACTTTTACGACAACTATATTCATTCTAAAAGCAGTTCAAAAGTAATTCACTTGTACTGCACATTTTTATCAATTATATGATATTTTTCTGTTTCCTTGAAAAACATAAATGACAAACTGTATTTATAGAATTGGAATTTATGAAATTTTATCATTCTGTTCTCATAATTTTATACAATATATTTTAAAACTTACATCATTTTTAAGTTTTTATTTTAATAAGAGCAATTAGCACAATGAATAATAAAGGTTTATATGAATGAAGAAAGTTTTTTGTGAAATCAAACACACTAATTTTTCACTAATATACATAAGTGAAAATTATTTATTCAAGCAGATGGTTAACATCACATTCTATATATAAACATATAAAATTATTTGCAAAAAATTTAATTCTTTAGAGAATAATAATGAATTTGTACAAAATTAAAAACACTAATTTAAAAAAATAAACTACAATAAATGGAATTTAAAAATGAACTCTGTATCCTTCAGGAAAAAAAATTATAATGCATTTTAATTTGAATTCTTTGTTTATGCTAATTTCTCATTTATATAACTACTGTTTGATATTTATTGTATAACTTTAACTTACAGAAAATTTTTCATGAACATGAATTTTTGTAAGACTTAATATTTTCAAAATAGTAAAATATTTTAGTCATTACAATACTCTTCAATAAGAAAACATGAACTCTATACAAACAAAAATATCTGTTTCGCATCAGTTACTATTTTTGTTGTTGTTATATCAAATATTTTTTATTAAAACATTTGTTTGCTGTTTTATTTTCAACTTTAGTATCATTGTAAATGGCTTTTTTTCTATCACACTCAAATTTCTTATCTCAATAATCAAATGTATAAGAAACATTTCATTAATATTATTTCCTCATTTACTTATATTTTATTTAGTTATGCTCTTGTGGCTAAAAATAACTGTTACACTAAATCTATATCAGGCATTCTCTTGTACTCTATTTTGTATATAATGTATTATGTTTAATTATTGTAAAAAAATAATGTTACGTGCATGCATGCAAGCATTACTTATAAGTATATTCTGTAATTTTGTGAGCATTTTATTACTTTCATTTGTGTACAACTTGTATCTAAAAATTGCATATTGTACAATATTTCATTCTTATTTAAGAATATAAAAAATAATTAACTTATTTTTATTAAATAAATTTTTTTTATTAAACATTTTGATTATTTTCTACATTTAGATTTAATTTATATAAATACTAAGTTATGCAGTAGTTTTAAAGCAACTTTTGCTAACTCATGAAATTTATATCATTTTGTAACAAAATCTACGAACTTCATATTAGAATGTAAAGCAATTAGAATAATCATAGATTTGTGAACAGTTTTCAGTAGTATTATTTAGAAGTATTAGTAGTATTACAATTAATATTACAACATTAAAGTTGTAATTTAAATGGTTTCTGATAAAAAAACAAAGTTAAGATTAAAAAGAAGAAACCTAAAGGTTAGCTTAAAAATGAGAGAAGAAAGTTTCATAATTTTATTATAAGTAGCACAGTTATTCGCAACTATTGTAATGATATCAATAAGTTTTTTTTACTTTTTGTTTTATTAAATAAACACTGATTTAATATTTATCTTTAATAGGACATTTTCTAAGGCAGGTTTAATATTTTTAAATAACAAAAATATCTGTTTTTAGCATCAGTTACTATTTCTGTTGTTATTGTTGTTATATCAATTCATCATGTTATTCTAATTTCATATTTAAATAAGGTTTTGTATATCATTACAATGTATTTTAATTTGATTTTGTATTTCGTTAATAACCTTACCCAAACAAAACTGATACATTAAGTTTAAGAAAACTGTGATTTATAATTTGTAACATAAGATTTACACATTTATAAGATAGAAATTGATTTATAATGTATTTTATTGCATTTTTAAAGTATTCAAAATACATATTAATTTGACTAATTTAATTTTAAATAAATGAATTATAATCTAAGGGCTCAAATTAGTTTCTAAATTTTAAAGTTTTTGTTGATATATATATCTCTTTTTTTGTATTTTGAAATGTCTATATAAGAATTTAATATATTATATTTATTTTACAGATTTAGATTATTTTGGTGATTATGATGAAATTGAAGAAGAATTTTTAGAAAGGATACGTGATTGTGATATTGGTAAGACAATTTAAAAATTTGTTTCAATATCCTCATAATAATTATCTTCCCTATTCAAAGATTTAAAAAAAAAAATTTCTACTTTTAGCTTCAGATGAATACTGCAGTGATGATGATAATGATTACGGCAGCAGTAATGATTTTGATCATAATTATGCTAAATATAAAACACACATTTCACAGACTGTGGATGATGATATTTGATATTTTTAATATTATGTTAATCTCAAATATATGTTAAAAAGAATGTAGCTAATAATACTGTAATATTTAAATTTTTTTACTGTTAAAAATGCATTCAAACAATGATTCAAATGCATTTTTTATCATTAATTTCATCATGCATCTGTATTATATTATTTTATACTTACTGGTATGTTTTTCAAATTTATTGTGAATCTAAAATAAAATATTAACTGAAAATATTGAATAATTTATTTCTATCTGAAATTACAAAATGTGTATAGAAAAGTCATTATATTAGTATATACACACACACAATTTTATTTTCCTTTTTTTGTCTGCAAGATTTGCCTTTTTTGTAAATTCTAAATTTTTCCATTTGTGATTTATAAAAAGGCAAATTAATTTTCCTTAAAATACAAAATATAGAGAATAGAATTAGCAGAAATCTATATTAAAACAAATAGGATTTTGTAATTTTTGCTTTTTTTTAAATAATTTTAGATTAAAATATCTTTTCCTTTTTAATTAACTTCAATTGTTAAATGCTTATTCTGTATGTAATTACAATTACCATTTTATATATATATACAGTATATACACACACACAATTTTATTTTCCTTTTTTTGTCTGCAAGTTTAGATAAATTGTAATATTTAAAAACTACATTATTTTAAATTTGTAATCTGATTACAAATTTAAGATGATAAATTGATGATAAGATTATCAATTTATGATGATGAATAAATTGATAAGATTAAATNATTTTATGGAAGAAAACCTTTCAAACAGCCGTAGTCCGTAAACTTGACACGTGTCGGGCTGAGATTGGAAGGACTCGTAAGAAATCGGATTCCTAAAGAATGGAACATATCTACTGTCTTATAGGGGAGGTCGACTGTATAAAAATAATTTTTTTTAACCATATCAAATTGTAACATTCTGCTGTCAATACAATCCATTCAGAGATTGATACTTCAGATCTGTATAAAAATAATTTTTTTAAACCATATCAAATTGTAACATTCTGCTGTCAATACAATCCATTCAGAGATTGATACTTCAGATCTAAACATTAACAATTTTTTTGCAGTCGTATCGTGGAACGTATATTGTATTAATGTTCGATTTAAATTGAATTACGTTAAATGTAGTTAGTGTTTTGTACATTTCTTACAACTTCTTCGTAATCTGGTGGATTTTGATCACCCTTGCTTAATATAACTCTGTGGTAAGGTGGTGGTGGTGAGGACGAACCAATTTGTCCAACAGGATTAGGTATAGTCTGTATACTGACAGGTTCTTCCTGAAAATAAGCTTGTTATAAATAATAATTTAAAAATATAAAACAATTTTTGTATTATTAAAATAATAATTGCTTAAATCGCTGTCATAAATTATGTCGCTCTTAATGACGACTTATAAACTAAAGGTCAGATTACATAATTTTTATTTCTTATTTCCTGTTTTTGCGATTAGGTTAGAGGTGCCTGATGTTTTATAAATAACCTATGTTTAGTATTTCAACATGTTTATAACATCTAAAGTACAATTACCTCCTTTAAATTGTAGATGTATGATAAGATATAAAACTTTATGAAAATATAGTGTTGTTATACTTTTGCATATAATTTTAAATTATTTTTTTTAAGTGAAACTTTCTGTATACTGTTTGTTAGGTTAGATGATTAGTAATTTGTCATTTAAGTAAGTATAATGAAAATTTTTATAATTAAAAAAAACTATGAGTATATTAGATAGAGGTTATATCAATTTTAAACCATTTCCAAAGAGAAATTAATATATATTTTTCTTATATAATAAGTCAAATGATGCCGGAACATGTTCAATAATGTCCCTAATTGTTAAAAGACGATCATCCAGCGACGTGTTGTTCGTCAATTGAAGTGGATGGTCTACCGGAGCGCAGTTCATCTTCAATGCATTCTCTGTCTTCTTCCAATATCTTGTACTACTCGAAAACTCTTGTTTTTGATAGATTATCGTCACGGAAATTTTGAAAAAAGCCTTTCAACTCTTTTTAGCAGTAATTTCGTTGCGAAAACAAAATTTAATGCACTTTCTTTGCTCAATTACAAATGACATTTTGAAAAATCGTCGGCGCAAAAATTCTTTACACACAAAACAAGCATAAGTATGCCTCGAAATATTTGAAAAAAGAACTTTTTAACGAAAAATCATAATTTTATTCAACATAATTTTCAAACATTAAATGTACAGTAGAGCGTCGTTTATCCGAAGGAATTTCAGTCGACAAATTTAAATTTTCGCCAGTGCTGTGGCGCTGTAATCTTTGGCTGTCTTCGGCTACTCAAATATTTTACGTTTTTGATACTAAATTAACTTCTGAAGTATAATTTTTTTATTGTTTTTATATATTTTTCAATACATTTATTTTGTTTGTATAAAATAAAAAAATAATTTTTAACGATACAATAGTCTTCGTTAGGCTTAACATCGACGAAAATTCAACGCGAAGCGACACGCAACGGAGAAAAATTTCAACACGGGATAAATTAATATATTTTTTCGTACATAATTGGTTATCCGAACAACCTCAGTCCCCAATTGATTCGGATAAACGACGCTCTACTGTATATATATATATATATAGTTATACACTCGATAATATAATTTTTGTTTTCTGTGATTCTTTATCATTCAATTAAAACTTCTCGTCTCAAATCGTATTTATTTTAGAATTTCTCAAACAGTAAATTCTGGTGATTCAGTGTAATAAGTTTCCACATATATCTCCACGGATTTAGTGTTTGAGAAATCCCAAAGAAATCTTATCTTTACGGCAACGCGACATCTGGGTGATCTGACGAGGGGATGCCTTCCGGAAAGACTTTCTACGGGTAACTGGCCCCTGTTTACGTGTTACAAACGTGAAGAAAATCCAGAAAACTCCACGTTGATAGCCTGTTGGCCAGGCTCGAACCCACGACCAACTACCAGTAATCACTGGTTTTATCCACGCGGCCACTGGTGGGCCTGCTTCATCTTTGTAGAAATGAATATCTTCTGGTTCGAATTCACCATCTCTTTCTAATTCGAGTTTTACAAATTATTATTCGGCTCTTGAGCTCTCGACTTATGAACTCAATTACCACTTTCCCATGCTCGATATTCGACAATATAAGTTTATTTCCACAAATGTTACCGTAAACCTTGGAATAGAAAGTGCTATCCGAATCTGAAGAGATAGAATTTTAGTTAAATTTCTTACCTCTCCCTCTAAACTATGCAGTACTTCGACATGTTTTTATGCCTTTCAATTCGTGATTCCACGGCGATTTATTCGTAGACCGAGGTTTATTTGAATCCCGAAGTTTAATCCAGGAAATAAGGAAAATCCTAAAATTATTTGCCATATGATTAGGATTATTCGAAAAAAGTAGACATCTGTTATCTTTAAAAATATAAGCAAATTTCCGACTGACCGTCAGTCTTCTAATGGTTTATGGTTACAGGAGGCGTGTCTCCTCCATAGCCCTATATAACGACCCCTCTGGAAACCATTCAATATGTTTTCAAAATGCTCTAGCTGTTCTGTTGTAGGAATTAAATTCTCGATTTCTACATCTTGCGGGATACTGCTGGTTTCTTTTTCAATGTCATTTCTATTTAACGGATATTGACGACCACTATTGTCTCTCTGTTGACTGCTGTTCTAAAAATAAAATCAGTTGTTTGTGTCGGTTGTTTAATGTTTCTGAAGAATAAATCTTACGTGTTCAATTATGATATACATATAACACCATATATTTCTGACTGCTTCATTATAGTGAAGACATAGCTCCTCCTTAAATCTAGATTCTAATCGCGTTTACACAGTACTCTTTCTCTTAAAGGCAAATTTGAGGCCAGTGTATATGGCTCCATTGTATTATGGCTTTACGCATAACATACCCAACCCAATCTTCATTACTGTCTTACATCAAATATCTATATCCTGGTTATTTGCCGACAACCACGTAGTTTATTCGATATGTATTTTTATGTTGGAATCCCTCGATACAATACTGCTATCGGCACCGTGTTATCTGCATAGTGTAGATTATTGGCAAGAATTCCGTTTACTTTATTGTTGTTGAGTTTTATAAACGATAACATTCATTTGCATAGGAGTCGTCTTATCAGCGACTTTACTTAATCACACGGGGACCACAGCAATAATTGACTATGCCAACTTTATTATACAAGGAAGGCATTTCAATTACTGATGTGTTCACTGTATGATTAATTCCCTTCGGCAAAATTATCACTAAAGAATGAAATTCGTGCTTGAATAGTTGCTCAACTAAATAATGATCTTATAAGCTTCAGAATTAATTTTTTAGAAACAGGTTTGAGATGATCAGATTCTCCATTAATTCTCTTCAAACGGCGAATCTCATTCAACTGTCATCGAAGAGAATTAATATTGAATCTCAATTTCAAACCTTTACTTTGATAAATCACGATCGTAAGGACTTGTTACGTTTAACTATAATATTTTATTAATCAAATATTATTAAATTGCGAACGAACACTAATTTTTAATACAAAATAAAAATTTCTATATAATATTTTGCATAAATTGTAAAAGAATTATACTGTATAATATGCTAATCGATTTAATTCCTGACTTGGCAATCAGTTAACCTTAATGATTTTAAAGGGTTTTTATTGTGTTTTGGGTTTTCTAAATATCAAATGTGTTTGTTTGTTGATGTCATTTCACAATGTTAAAATATACGAAAATTTCGACGTATTTGTCTTCATTATTTGAAAGAATAATTTGGAAACCGGTTAAAATATTATGCATTCATTTAAAATCTATTTATTTTAATCTGTTTAAGAGCTAATTAATGAACACGAGATAAACAATTATCTAATAGACTTGCAACACTTTCAAGATGTTATTAACTGAACGTTTGTCATACGTTTTTTTAATAATCAGTACGATTGTAATGTTTGGAGCAGGTTGGCCATATCACGCCGCAACAGTAAGAAATTCCCCTCTTAATAATAGCCGCCATAAAAAGCATTTTTATTAGAATATTATTCAATTTTTTGGTTGATTTTTTTTAACACAGAAAACAGTAAAAACATTCATTTTGTTCATTAGACAGTTTCAAAAAAACTTGAATTTAATGGCAATCGTCAAAAATGACCCTCCTTCAAGGTTTTTTTTTTACATTTTTTGGGCTCAGGAGACTTTAAACACCGAGAAATGCGAATTTTTCCCCCTGTATGCATGGATGTTACTGTGTATGGGGGGACACGATTTTGTTCACCCATTTTGTAGCTTAATAACTCCTGTACCTTTTGTCGAAAATTTCTGAGATTTTGCAGGGAGGTTTGGGTATTAGGGGCATTAATGCTGTTAAATTTTGTTGGTTAAAGGTCGACGGGGTGGGGAGATAAAGGAGGATCACGTGGCGTATCTCTAATGGGGTCGGACTTAATGAAGATTTCATTCGTTATTAGAATTTACAGTTTTTATAAAACCCATCTCTACTCTCATTTTATCTCTAGTCTAAAGCTTTTTGCCATTTTATAATAATTAATAAAGATAAAAAGTTTTTTAAATAAAATGTCATAACAGATGACACCACTATAATTTTAAATTTTTTTTGCCGTGAAAGTTATGCAACTCATTGCTGGGTATATACAAATTCAATTGGTATCAATGAGAATTTTTGCATTTCATACTCATTCATAACATTATAGTACATAAAAAAAAGGTGTTTAACTGAGCTAGATGAATGCTCACTGTCTGACATCCTTAACACATTGACCTATTTCAAATAATAATTATAAAATATTCTGCTTGATGTTTATTTAAAGTTATTGTATTTATAATTTTACTATGTTAAGATAAAAAAAAATATCAAAGACACGAAACTAACTGCAAGAAGTGATGCCAGTTATTTTTTACTGTATGCAGTACGGTCGCGGTAATCTGAACTAATTGAAACCAATGATAGTTCGGATTAACGGAAATACGATAGTAGGCCTAAGTATGCTTACGTTTTGATCGTTTTTTTTACTGTTATGAAGTATTTTATAACAGTAATAGAGGTTAGAATTAAGTCAAAAGAGGATCACAGAAACAACGAGCAACAATGTTCACAACACCTGATCTCCCCACCCCGTCGACCTTTAACCATCAAAATTTAACAGCATTAATGCCCCTAATACCCAAACCTCCCTGCAAAATCTCAGAAATTTTCGACAAAAGGTACAAGAGTTATTAAGCTACAAAATGGGTGAACAAAATCGTGTCCCCCCATACACAGTAACATCCATGCATACAGTATGTTTACGTGTGAGCTGCAAAGTGTACTGTTTGGCAAGTCTATTATTTTATTTAGGAAAGTGGTAGATGTTAGGATTAGCGCGATTGCACTATATTATTATATAAAATAATATTTATCGTTTTTTTATCATCATCGTGTAACTTCAGATAAAAGTTTCTGTATGCTATTTTATGATCATGCTTNCGTGATGGAATGCATAACTTTTTTTGTTTCAACAACGTCTCACCCGGCACAGTGGCCATAAACTCTTAAATATATTTTGCGTCGTAATAAAAATATAACTTGACATACGTATTTATAAATAATTTATTTTCAAATTACATCATTTCTATGACCAAGGATGGCATAAGGCATGGGCAACGTGGGCCACCGCCTATGCCTCGCTCCGAAGGTGCCTCGCATTTCGAAGGTTTATACATTACTTAAAAGCCGTGAACGCGATGAAAAAATTTTACTCGTCATAAAACGATAGTTTATAAAATTTTTATTCATAAAAATGCAGTTTCAACTGCTTTTTATTTTATAAAATCCGTCTTCTTGAGCCACCAAAGGGCTTTTTAAACAACAGGTAGTCTGTTAGCGTTGGTCAGTAGTAGTCCAAATTCAATACGAACGTTTGTTTCTTGAAAATTTGATCACGATTTAAATACAGTATTTACTTTAATATTACCAATATGTCATTGAAAAGAAAACGTGTTGTATTACCATTAAAAGACAAATTAAAGTATTTGTTTCGATTATCTGAATTTTTCCCTTATTCGGACTACCTTCATCCCCAATTAGTCCAGATAATCGAGGCTCTACTGTATTTTAATTTTAAAAATTCTGTTTTTATTAAACAAAAATATTGTTTGTTATAAATATTTTAACGAAGCTTCTAACCTAACTTAAATTAATTATTTCGATTGTAAAAGATTTATTTACACAATAAATATTGATTTTATTTTTAAATTAATAACAGAAACATCGATTTTAAAGTGTTAAGTATGTACTAATTTTAAATTAGATTGTAATCATAAATGGGATTAATTATTTATCAATAAATTATCATGGATCGATTCATGTACAGTTAAACTACACAAGCGCAAAATAATTATCTATTATTTGGCACTATTTATCTTATGTAATGATCTAATATTACCTGTATATGAAATTAGACATTGCAGTTAAAAATATATATTGTATGTTATTTGTATACGTATACATTTGTATTTAATTCTATGCATTTAGACTCACCTGATGATTCGCGTGAACGACTTCCGGAGGGACTTCTATTGTCGAATTATCGGGTTTCAATTTTCTTTGACAACAAAAACAAAGAAGAAATAAAAGAAGGGTACTGCCTCCAAAAATGGCTCTAGATAAAAGATTTTTTTTTAAATTAATTTAATATTTTTCAAGTTAAGAAGTGTTATCACATAGAATATAACTTAATTATAAACTACAGTCTTAAAATAATCGATGAAATAGATGTAGAACAGGCCTTTCAAGGAATCGAGAGAGGCTCCGTTTACTTACCTTTTTTAAGATCTCCCAGTGTATTAAAAAAAACAAAATGGGGTTATTATATTGTGAAAGAAGTCAAACAATAAAGGATTTTCCTTAATATACAAAAATTAAATGGATTTTTGAGGCCCTAGCAAAATGGTTCCACTGTTATAGGACTGCTTGAAGCGAATTGACGAGATAAGGCAACCTAACACATGGAAATCTGCCAACAAGGATGGACATTTTATAAGAAACTGTCCCCCTAATTTAGGTGTTAGACACGTGACGAAAACCCAGCAAATCTCTAGGCTTTGGTCAGGCGAGAGGTCCTAATGTTGAAACGTAAATTTATTCATTCCGTAATTAAATATTACCATTTAAATCAAAAAATATGTAAGAAATTTAATTAAAATTTGATATTTTTAATAAATTAATTAATAAATAACGTTTACACCAACTTAATTAAAATTAACCTTGACTTGNTTAGGTGTTAGACACGTGACGAAAACCCAGCAAATCTCTAGGCTTTGGTCAGGCGAGAGGTCCTAATGTTGAAACGTAAATTTATTCATTCCGTAATTAAATATTACCATTTAAATCAAAAAATATGTAAGAAATTTAATTAAAATTTGATATTTTTAATAAATTAATTAATAAATAACGTTTACACCAACTTAATTAAAATTAACCTTGACTTGTCAATTGCTTTCTTGAAGATAAAATTGAACTTAGTAACACTCAATTTTTTTTTTTTTTTTCTAAAATTTTACTTAAAAATATATATATATTTGAATTTATTTAAAAAAATATAACGAAAATAATACTGAGGATATACGTAAAAATCGTATGAATTTATTGTTTAAACACTTTTAAAAATAAAGTAAATTTGTGGATTATTATATTACGAACTGCTTCATAATTATGAAAGTAATTGAAGAAATGAATGAAAAATACTCACAAGAAAACCACAATTGAAGATTCCCCAAACATATTTGACATCTCATCACATCCATCTGTACAGAATACGTACGCTGTACTAACTGCTAAAGACTTTGGACTGCAACTAACAACTCTTATCTCCGTGGTAGATGCTGCTCTTAAATTGCAACCTAATTTAATTAATAACAATCGTCTTGGTATTAAATTATATATTTTATAAATTTCTCCTCATTATTCATTAAAAAAAAATAATAATAATAATTGTATTGAAATATGGAGTACACAAAGCTAACACAAAGCTCTAGTGTTGAACATTTGTATTTAAAAATACATAGAAAATCCAAACTGAGTTTCCTCTATTCTTTTTTCACACCAGGAACTCGTTTAAAACACACTAAAAGCCGGGTCTTTTATTTAGGCCAAGGCCTGAGNTTTGATATCTTCTAAGATAAAGTAATAAAAACTTTATAAAATAATCTTATTAATTTACTTTTATTATTAGAAATACCAGAAATATAAGACTTAATTCAATGTTTAGATTAAAATTTCGGTAGTTTTGTGTAATTGTATATATTTTGTCTACAAATTTAATTAAACCAATTAACTCCTTGAATAAGTAAATTGCCCTTGATAGAGTAATTGATGTCTTTACTGTGAAACCAAACTAAATCTTCATATTGCTGTAATACTTAAATGCTTTCTGATTATTTTATGACCGTGATAATCATCAAATTATCAAATTCTCGTGTAACCAATTCTCAAAATTCAATATAAAAAAAATAATAATAATAATTGTATTGAAATATGGAGTACACAAAGCTAACACAAAGCTCTAGTGTTGAACATTTGTATTTAAAAATACATAGAAAATCCAAACTGAGTTTCCTCTATTCTTTTTTCACACCAGGAACTCGTTTAAAACACACTAAAAGCCGGGTCTTTTATTTAGGCCAAGGCCTGAGTAAATTGTGTAATAGACGAAAAAAAAATCTAATGGTGAAGTTAATAGCAATGTTACACTCGGATATTCTCAACACCCATTCCATTGTGGGCCTGGCCGAACCAGAGATTGGTCCGACAAAGAGGCCCTCTTAGTTCAAAGAGCGGAAAAAGTCCAGAAAATAATAAATAAATAAATAAATAAAATGTTGTGTTGCCGATTTAAGTAAAAACATTCGTATTAAATTTTATAACGAAATCTCAATGTATAATAAAATAAACACTTACAAGAAAGTTAAAATAAAATTTTAACTAATTTTTATGTAACAATATGATTGGTTTTTGGAGAACAATAATGTAATGAGTCATCATATTTCCCATTAATCCTGTGTAATAAATTACATAAGATTAATGGGTTTCTGAAAAATCGCACAGATTATGTTATATGACACACGAAGATGGCAGAAAGAATATGAAATTTTACGTAATGGTGATATAAAAGAAAACGTCTACTGTATTGTACTTTCTCATCATTTAAAAATGTACGTGTAAAGTAACATATGAGCAGTGTTCGAGATGTTTTTTTTTTTCACTTTATCAATTAATCTTCTGATCAAATAATGTATTATCCATCAGATTTTTTGTCAATAAATGTTTATATCCAATCTCATATTTCGTATATTGTCTGATAATTTCAAGAGGTATTATGTAATTATTTTTACCTGTTAGGAAAAATATTTTTGAAGAAAAAGTTAAAAATTTTCAATTATTTTAAAATTACATAATTAATTTTAAAATTATAACTGATTTTTTGTGATTATTATTTTTAAAATAAAGAAAATTGTGAAGTGCCAGACAGAATACGAATCCCTCATTTAAAGGTACAAAAATTCAATTCATTTAAACAATACGGTCGACCTGGTGAGGTCACGAGTTGTCGCGAACAAACGTGTTGAAATGTTTAGAATGTCAATCGGAAAGATCGAGCTTCGAAATTTTGTCACGTCCACGCTCGTAGAAGTGACAAAATTCTGGGAGGTAGCGAGAGAAATCGGAACTAATCGAATTCAGAATTTCAAGAAGAAATCCTTTAAAAAACCCCCTGGTCTTTGACTTCATTTTCGTCCCTTCACTTACATTCCGCTCACTACGCCGACTTCCAGCCAGTCTACTTTTATAACATTATCTAATTGTAAAAAATCAAAGAATTATAATAGAAACAATATCATTTGGCTATTTTTTATTCAGATATCTAACTATAAATTTGAATTTTGAGTTGGAAACATTGCTATATGTATTGATATATACATATGCAGTATTCAGTTGTACAGTGTGGTCTAGGGATTAGGACTCTCTCCCTCTCCTTTTTTCAACTCTCCGTGCTGTGGGCATTAAGATGGCTTCTTTTTAGCAAGCCTATTAGGCCAGACTCAAAAAGGGACGGGTCGACGTATTCGGACGAACCACCTCCTGAAAAATTCCTCGTGTTTTTCGAACCCGGGTCCCCAGAGCAATTGCTATTACCATAATCACTCTCTATTCCGCTTTCTCTCCCTATCCTTGTCTTTTGTACGGCAACAAACAATGAACTATGGACCATGTTCAGACAGTCTAAAGAGCACATTTTCATATTCTTCATAATCTCATCTTAGTTTTTAGAAAACTGTTTTAAAATATGAAAAGACAATGAAAGTCATGGTTCGAGAAAAAACAAACATCGATATCCCTCTAAATGTTCGTAAAATTATGAAATTTAATGTTTAAAAAAAGTTAATTCTGTTGTTTATACATTTCGACATTTTGGGCAAATGCAATAAAACTTTTCAGAAGCTTCTTATCCGGGAGGAGATCAACGACTAGGAATTAGCTTGGACCTCCTGCCCACAACAGATTCCTTTTTCTATCTGACTAGCGGGATGAATTCCAATGGGAAAATTGCTTAATACAAGATCCCTAGCAAGCACGAAATATGATTATAGGGTTTTCGAGGGAACCGAGTTTAAATATTTGGTCCATTTTCTCGAAATTTGATCGCTTGGCCGATTTCCATTTGACATTCTCCTGGAAATAATACGTTAGAGTTAACGTTAGAAAAAACTTGGGTGTCTCGAATTATCTTGTTATGTAGGTGAAAGTCAACGATTATTTGCTGTTGAAAAACATCCCTGTCTACAGGATGCTCTGTGATAAAAATAACAATGATAAACCAAAAATTAATTTCGTTGATTTAGAAAATTTAACGTAAAGTGTTACCTGAAAATCATAAATTCTTTTTTATAATTTAAATACCCCCCAAAATAGCTAAGTACAATACGTCCATTATAGGCGGGCCTGATCCGCAATGGGATGACCAGCAAGAATGAAAAGTGAAAACAATGCCGTGCTAACCACAATTATGGCTTATGAATCGGGTTTTCCTGTACGATTGAGGCTGTATTGTCCATGTTCTGATTCTGACTATACTATCCATGGCAAATTAGGAGGATTAAATCGGGTTTTAGCCCGGATCTTCCATAGTAATAGTCTAACACAAATAATAAATGGCGAAAGAAGACGATGCCAGTCTTCCACTTTAGGGGAACCGCTTCGAATTCGTCGACATAGAAATATTCATGGAAAAGTTGATCTGGATACGTTAGGCTTCCTATATTCCATGACAAAGTCTCCATCTTCGTCATGGGATAGGCCAAACTCATGACGAGCACAGAAAAGGGCCTCTTAGTGTGGAAAAAGTTTAAAAAAATACTCACAATATTTACAAAGAAGTAATTTTATATATTTTTAAAAAGAAATACAGAAATCTTCGAAATATTTATTGAGCTGTATTTCAAAAAAAAAGACAAATAATTTCCCACTGTCGTCCGTCTGTTCGTCTTTCCTTAATCTCGAGAACGGAGTTAGATATATAAAAGTCAAGATGAGACATGGAAAATGTAGGGATATGAGGCCCTGATTAATCGGCTCGCTACGTCATCAATGAAACAGTGTAATGTAGGCTCCGCATCATGCGCTCTGCAATTACGATGGATTGTTGCGTCACTAAATCTAGATATTTTAATCCCGGATGTAATTGTTCTCTCTTGCCTAAAATTGCCTCTAAAATTCCGTCGGTTTCTGTTGATTTTCCTTTCGTATTGCGGTAGCTGGGGTCGAGGTTGAGTCGTGGGGTTTCGCCAGTTAATTCTTGAGTCGCCTAAATCGTGTCTTCCCTCATATCGTCTTGATCTGTGTCTAGAATTATATGTTTGATTTCGTACGCCGCCTATTATGTTTCTTGAGTCATCGAATGGGTCCCTACTATGCATGGGGAATTCGGTTTGAATTTCCTGCCGTCGTAGTTCATGTAATTGCTCTTGTATTTGCCTGATTGTTTGGTCTATACTTCTATCAAAGTATGTATCTCGGGGCCCTCGTGAGTCGTCGCCTCGTCCCCCTGAAGATTGATATTGTCGTCGTGAGTCTCGATAATCCCGAGGACGCCAACCACGGGGAGGTCCCTGTCGAGGATCTCCTCTGCTATAGTCCAAGGGTGTCAGTCGTTGAAGTTTCTCCTGAATTTTCGTCAACGTTTCTTCTAATGGGTTATGGTTAGTATTCTTTTCTCTAGTGTTATCTACAGTCCTTATTATTCCCCTGGTTCTTCCCGTCAATTGTTCTATGCTTTCTTCGCTAATAGCTATTCGCACCGCCTTATCGAAGGTATCGGGTTCTTTTGACATCACGTGTCTCTTTATTCGATTATTGAGTCCACTCATAAACTGCACTAACAACCGTTTGTCTCTTTCCTTTTGTTGGCACCGTTTTACAACTTCCCTAGGCACTAGGTTGTTCTTTAATAATTTCTACCACTAGAGTTTGCAATCGGACGGTGTAGGTCTGCACGTCCTCTCCCGGCGCTTGCACGCAAGCTTGAAACTTCTGTAATTGTAGAGATAGGTTCCTTTCAGTGGCGTGCCGTGACATTTGATGATAGGGAAGCCGTGTTTCTATAAGAAGCCGACTTCCAGGGGCAATCAGTCAGCAATGGTCTAGGGTCCATTCGTATTCGTTTGTTCGATAAGCCAGTAAAAACCGTAGACTTCTCTAAATGTATTTTTAATTAATAGATTATCTAACGCACTTAATAAATAAGCAAGTTCAATATAATTAACTCTCTTATATTAGATTTAATAGATTCTATACGCCCTCTAAATGCCAA